TTTACCACGTCCGAAATATCCAACGGGGGTTGCCAGCAGTTTCCTTAAGAACTCTGTTACTTTCGTTGGTTTCTAACAGAATCGCCCATGACAAATTATTGAGAAAGACGAAAGGGTTTGTGGACTGCACAAAAGAGCCTTCGAATGGCTTTCCCTACAAAATTTCTTTCATGGTCACTAATAGTCCGTGCTATGAATATTTATGTCACCTGACTAGATGACAATTATAACAGCCAATAGATGACGAGATTAAACTAACACAAACACGTGTTTGAGTAACATTAATGAATACATGTAGTCTCGCTAAATCTCACCAGAACTAATGCCAGAGCTACCGTAAACTCCTCGGGTTTAATAATTTGCAGAACACATTAGTAGGGGTGTTTTTGTAGCCCTAACAATGCTGCGTTTCATATGATTTTTTTTTCAGAAAGAAATGTGTGGAAAGAAAGTTATTTTCAAATAAGATTATTTAGAGTTCAATCTTTTCCGCCATTGTAAATATCTTTTTTAAAAAAAAAATGAAAAGAGTGACATAAACATTTAAATGTTTTGAGTAAAAAGAATTTTATACAAAAATAAAAAATCATTTCTTTTTTGGGGGGAAGGGGGGGGGGATGGGGGTAATATATGTTTTTAATCTACGGATTAAATATTCAGGAAACACGTCACTTATAGAAAGAAATAGCAGATAATTGTATTTTGAAAAGAATTTGAAATGAAATTGCAAACATTTAAGAAAATTCCTTATTTTCAAATTTGAAGCAATCCCGATTGAAATTAAACCGATCGCAACCAAAATTAATATTAAATAAAGAAATATCTCAATTTATTACCTATCTAATGCTATTCTCTCTCAGAATCTATTGACGTTCGTTCTCGTAAATATTTGATTTTATAAAAAAAAAAAAAAATAAATAAATATCTATTTTATTCAAATAATTAAGAGCTTATATCTGCCTTTTCCATGCTGAATTTGTTTCAAACTAGATCTTTTCTAGATCAATTAAATGCAATTTGGTGTGGCATACCCGTAGTTCATTTCACTTTAATCATGTTGGAGTGTATACTCAAAATCGGGTATTATCCCTGATATCGCGTATAGTCCTCGAAATCGGATCGGTGTAATCACCGCATAAAACTTAAGCAATGTGATGGCGCATTTTGTTGAGTCAACTTTCACATAGAGACAATGTTATCTATAGGTATCACTAGTCGAGAAACAATTTTCAAAAGTCTGAATTAATGCGCATATGACAACATATACCCGTGGAGGTAAGTACATATCATGATCTGCATCTAAACAGGAGTTCATTCCGCTTTTTATTTTGTATAATTGTCAAGGAGTGAATTTTTGTATTTTACTTTTACTTTGATGTTGCAGCATCTGTATTATATTTATCAATTTGACATCTCTCCCCCTCCTGTCCCACGGTATCAATGACAGTATTGTAAGTTTTACATACAGCGTAGAGATAAAAGGTTATATATTTCCTGTCTTGAGAATTCTGCCTAAATTAATGTCAACCATCTTTCTTTTAATGTTACAATTTCAGTTTTATTCCATTTCATTGGCTATCTTTAGAAATGTGGGAGGAGTTTGGGGGAAAGAGATGAGATTTGTGTGTATGTTAGTTTTGAGTCTTAGAGTAGAGTTTTAGCGATTTGAATGTTACTTTTTGGAAATTCATGAATAAAGAACCATAAACATGTAGTGACGAGTGTTTTCTTGGAAAGCTTAATCCCATCGTCACATAATGTTAAAAGTATCTGCAACATCTTCAAGTTCATACCCAACACAAGAGAACTGCAAAATACCCAAAGTCGGGAATTTATAATAATTCCACATTTTTGCAACAAACATGAACAATTTGTAAATAATTCAATTTAAAGGGAAACACGTTTAAACCACAAAATAGTTTCACGTGTAAACAAGGGATTGTCTATCGTATCAAATCCAACTGCAACCAAAACGTTGGCGGTGTCTTTGAATAAAAATGCCCATGCTTAATTGACAGTGATATTTTTTCTTGGAAAATACGTCCCTCCCCAGTTTCCCCCCAAGCATTGCAGGACTGTGCTACATACATACATACATCTTATGAATAATTGAAGATTTTACTTTAGTATCTCTACCTATTTATCAATAGATATTTTTTTTTAATGAAAAAAGTACATGTAGATATGAAATTTGATTTTATATAATGTCAATTTTTAACCTGCTTTTCCATATGTGATTTTTTTTTTAATTTTATTTTTCTTTAATTTTACCACTACCATTAGATCGGCATTCAACATGTATATCGATTATGCTATTATCTTATATTTAATGTGAAATGGACACCATGCATTTTAAGAACAAAATACATAACACAGTGTGAGTCGTTAAATTTCCTCAAAGTTTTATGTTTCGTGAATAATGCACAAATTAAGAAATTAAGCTTGAGGATAAGTTTTTACGGAAGTAAACACATACAGCATCAGTAGTCATTGTTTTTAGAAATTGCATTGAAAAATAATGAAGCCATTGTGTCTATTTTGCTACCCCAGCAGTGTAAGTAGTATGATTTCAAACTCGTCAGACAACCATGTAAATGGAGTTAAATAAAATTAACTCCAAAACACTGATATACATGTAGCGCTATTTGACATCATGCGCAATTGCTTTTTTTTTTTTTTTTTTTTTTTTTTTTTTTTTTTTTTTTTTTTTTTTTACAGAAAGTTGCACCGGATACTCAATTTCGCAGATTCACGCGACTATACGTGATTTCACGTATATAATACCCGATTTCGAGTACTCTCTCCAACCTGTTAAAATCTATTCAAAGTTAGTCTTCATATTATGTCACATATTATTGATTATTGATATTTAACATAAGAATAAAAAAAATGTGAAGACAATGATTATCAATTCAGCTCTGAAGTGATTCGATTATTATTTTTAATCATGTCTTCTAAGAATACAACTTTCTATTGCTAAAACGATATGCAAGTTATACTTTTGTTATGTTTGCACGCAATACCACGCTACCAAAAGCACATATGCGAATAAACCATTTAAACTGTAATTATATGCTCAGATGGAAAAAAAAAACTGGTTGTTATTGATTCATTGTTGTTTATAAATATAAGTGTTGCACGAAAGATTTGTTCACGCAGAAGAGTATTTGATTCTTGAACAGAATGCATTTCAGAATTGGACAATTACATTTCTTAATGATATTTTGTTTCTTTTCAGATCATATTCATATAGGTATGTATTTGTCATGATATCTTTAGTGAAGGATTTGAAATTAATAGGAAAGATGTTAGGAATTCTGTTCTCTTTCCGCGTATGAAACATATATGTATATGCTTTATTGATTCTTTTTTTCAGGGGGAGGGGTCGGCTTAAAACTTCATTATATTAATTTTGATTTTCTGATAACTTTGCTTTCTTTTACATAGTATATGTGATAATAAGAAAGGAAATATTTGATGAATTAGGAAAAGAAAACAAAAGGTTCTATTTCAGATATAATTTTTATTGATTGACAATGTGATATTGCGATAGAAATTTCCATGATAATAAATGATGCGGATAGATGAGAAAGAAGCAAAAACAATTTCATACATTGGATAGGAATTAAGACAGTTTGTATGGCGATAATATTAATGAGTCACGGTTTTGCAAATGCCCATAGTGTATTTTGTTACCTTCACTAATCGGAATCAGAATGTCAGTAAGATGTAAATATGATGTTTATTTAAATACACTAAAATTAATTATTTTAAAAATCACACAAGGACATTTTAATTTGATAATTAAATTGATACACATGTATACCTTGTAATGTCAAACTTAACATTGAGAGTAGATGTCAATAAATTTTCTAAGGTACACTAGCGTCACTATTTTATTCAAATGTTTGAATAGCTATTGTTTTATCAAGTTCGTAATTGATACATATACATTGTATTATATTTATATCTTTTAAAACGCAGATGGGAAAATATACACAATGCTTCTGAAAATGCTATGAATCACACATGAATAGTAATGTAACACTTTGACCATCACATGAAATTGACTTATTTTTACGACTACGTAATGATTTTCTTGTTATGATTTTGAAATTTGGTCAAGATATGATTCTTTTCTTAAAAAAATGTACAAATATGATAAATGCAAACTTTTTTGGACAGCATAAATAAAACAATTATACGAATAATATGTGAAAAGTTCTCCAATTTCTTTTCAATTCAAGAAAAAGCTGATTTATCTTTTATTTTGTTGTTTGGCTTTTCAGTTTCCACGAGAACCTGTGGAAAAGGATGGACCTCTTACCAATGGAGTTGTTATTATTTTTCAACATCCAAAGTTATATTTAAAGATGCACTGGTGAGAAAAATATCAACTTTTCATAACTTTTCATAACTTTCAATGAAATTAGATGTACTATTTGTTCATTCCATACCGTTCTTTTTTATTATTATTATTTTCATGGTAACATTCCTGTTTTGGCCTTAATCCAAGGAAAAAACACCAGTCAAATTTAAAAGTAACGTACGAATTCTGTGTAAAAGTAAATTGAAAAAAGGCGTTTTAGTAACTCTTTGGTTGTGTTTAGTAATACTTAAGTTGCGTCGTATGCTATTAATGTTTCTAGCTATTTACGCCATGAAAGAAAATGTTTGACAGTATGATTAAATTGAACACCTATCTCTGGAGAAGTTTTTTAATTGATGCTTTTTTTATTTGTCAAAAAAAAAAAAAAAAAAAAAAAAAAAAAAAAAAACTTTATATGTAAAAAAGGGTAATAGTAAACAATTCCGTGTATATCTTCAATACTGTTCGCTATTTCCATATATTTCATATCAAGATTAACAGTTAATAGATGCCAAAAGTGATGTGTGGTAATCATCAATAATTTCATCTAAATGTTGCTTGTGTTAATCTAAGGGCTTTTGTTGATATTTCTTTTTTCCTATAGTCAGCATGTCATCTGCTTGGCGCAGAAATGTTGGAACTTCAAAATGCACTAGAAGAAAAATGGATTGATCTCCAATCTCGATTAAGAGGTACATTGTTATATTCTGTTAGTGCGCCCCACACTGTTTTGAGTTAACGTTGACCAGAGTTGATGCCACTACAGCACATAAATAATTGAAATAAAAGTGTTAATTAGCATTTGTATTTTGCTTTATTTTAATGAGTTATGCCCCAACGTCAATTAAATAATGTAAAAAATGGAAATAAACTCTTGGGTCAAATGTTTTCTTAAAAATCGGAATTATGACATCTATATATGATTATTTAATATTATTCTAAAGGTTACAAGGACGTCTGGCTTGGTGCAAGTGACATACAACATGAAGGAAAGTATGTCTCTGTTTCAAATGCGGAGCGACTTCAGTACATCAACTGGGCCTCCGGACAACCAAATAACGGAGGTGGATCTAGAAATGAGCATTGTGGTTCCTACTGGATTTCTAATAGGGGAATGAGAGATGCCCCATGCAAGGAAAATCATAACTATGTATGCAAAAAGCGAAAATAAATTGTCAACCTTATGAACCACAAATGTATTTCATGTAATAATTCTTATGTGACACTAATAATTCTTCTGTGACACTTAATGGATAATAATAATTTAAGAATATTTCAACTAAAGGATGAAAAATAGAAATCTAAAATAATGAACCACTGTAGCGAGATAACTCTGAATCATGAAAAAAAAAAACATGTTTGAAACATGGTTTGTACAGTCCCTGAAACGTTCTACTTTCCCACTTGAACGGTGAGCGAACGCTGAACGAACGGTGAACGAACGCTGAACGAACGCAGAGCGAACGGTGAGTGAACGATGTGTGAACGCTGAACGCAAATTGGTGAACGATGTGTGAACGGTGAACGGTGAGCGAACGGAGAACGCGAACGGAGCGCAAACGCGAACGCAAAGTGAACGGTGAACGAACGCTGAACGCAAAATGAACGATTTATTCGGAATGCCTCTAATCTTTCCCTTGCATTGAAACTATTTTATTGTATTCTATGTCAGGTGCCCAAAAAATCAATAAATAAACAAACAAATGAATGAATGAATAAATAAATAAATAAATAAAATAATTGCTCCAAAATTGTCCTAAGAAAGACGATGCATGCAAATTAAATTTTTAATCGCACGATTTTTATCACTGTAAAACATTGCAATTGCTGCCGAACGCTTTAGTATAAAAATAAAATTATTTTAGTTGGAAAATAAATATGTTTATTCTTATTTGATATAAAAATAAAAACATTACAAAGGAGAGAAAAACTTCTGACTTATAGAATGAATTAAAACGGTTGTAACATCCATTCATATATTTCCGTGCCAAGGCGATTTGGTGCAAAATAATTTTAAAAAAAAAATTAATTACAAAGGCCAGTGGACACATCGCATAAACACACTCGTATTTTTAAATTTTAATGTAATAATATATTATGTGTCATTTCTATTTTCAATGATTTATTGAAAAGACTTCTACATGTACCTGTAGACATTTCCCCGTGATTAAACTCGGACATGATAATACAAAGAGGCATATTCATATTATTTGTTATAAATTAAATTTTCAGAACTTGATATTTATGTAGTATGCTGTCATAGATTTTATTTAACAGACAAAATTAATGAGAGAGAGAGAGAGAGAGAGAATCCGTTTTAGCCCCCCCTTTTCAGGCTTCACTAAATGTTTGTACCTATATCAAACAAAAATTCTCATTTTTTTTTTTTCTAAATATATCAGACAGTGAATGTAACTTTTTTTAAATAAAAACATCCATTTGTTTAACAGTCATACTCGTTTTTGTTTTCCTCCTTCAAGTTCACACAAAGTCCACGTGCTTGTCCTGTCAATCAAAATCATTCGACACTGTGCAGGAGTGAAAGTCTCGTCACACCGAAGACGAAGTGCGAGTATTTCCAACGAGTTTTAACATTTATTTTTATCATTTCTAGATTTGATTCCAACATTTCAATAATAAATAAATGATTAAAATACACTGGGCATTAACACTTGAATTTGAAACATACTGTACATGTCTGCATGCCAATTTAAAATATCACCGCCGACACGTGTACATTTTGGACTACTATTGTTTAGTGACTTTTTTAGATGCATGTTTGTTTTGAGACTGAAATTTTTGTGCTACAAAACACATTAACTTCTTTTTTGAATGTTAATTAAAATATACTGGAAATACTGACTAAGTAAACGATTTAGGGGAAAAAAGGGGGGATTGTTAATCATATCGAATGGCAAACATATAAAGTTACGGTGAAGGAAGAATTTTTTTCTCTATAACTATAGACTTTTTATATTACAGTAGAGAAAATTCTGTAGTGTATTACATTTTAAATAAATATTTCCTTTAACCACAATATCAATTTCTTTCGCTCCAAAGATACTAAATTAACAGGATATCCGCAGTACTATGTATGACTCTCAGAACTAGTTTTCATATGTTTCTGTGGTAATTGAAAGAAAAAAACATGTTAGAAATAATTTTTTTTTCGTAATTTAGCTGCGTAATTATTTGACTTGGATAATTGTCTCTCCATTAACGATGTCTTCTTTAACTTAACAACAAAATGCTGCAGTGCTTGAAGTATCTGTATATTGCCCATATTTAATTTTTCAGCATCGTTCTACATTGGTACATACTTATAACAACATCAGAGTAAATTAATAAATAACCTTACAGCTAAGTTAGAATAATAATAAAAAAAATAATAATAATTTAAAATACTGTGGATAATTTTTTCCCCGTGAAATAATGATTCTTTAAACACGATATGTAGATTATCAAATATCTTATTTATTTTATTTAAGAAAAACCCGTAAATCCTTACTTAAAAAAGATAAGTCCTTTCACTTCGGAGTTCCGAATGACACTGAAGACTGAACGATAAGTGAACGCTGAACGCAAGGTGAACGCAAAGTGAACGAACGGAGAGCGAACGGTGAACGCTTTGTGAACGGTGAACGCGAGCGCACGGTGAACGGTGAACGCAAAACTGTGAACGGAGAGCGAACGGTGAACGCACGCTGAACGAACGGTGAACGCACGCTGAACGAACGGTGAACGAACGGTGAGCGAACGGAAAAATGGGAAAGTAGAACGTTTCAGGGACTGTATAATCATATACAGGGTGTTTCATAATAAATGTTACGGTTTGAATTTATAAATTGACAAACAAAAAAAATAGATATAACATAAGAACTTCCATAAATTTAATGTATGTATCCATTAGTTTTATTTTATATAATAACCAATTAACCTTACAAAAATCTTAGCAATGTGAATGTGATTTGACTTTTGAACAATACACAGAGACGTTCCAGAAGTCTTAGACATCGGTCTTACAATGAACTAATTATAAACGATGTCTCTTTCGATTCACTACTACCTGTAAATAAACAGTTAGGTCTTCACCACATTCGCACCAAACTTTACTCTGTCCCTTTGAAAGTTTTAAATAGTCTACATGAAAAAGTCAAAGAAAGTCCATATATGAATTCTTCGCCACAAGAATACAGGTTTTGATTTTTGATTATGGATTAAGGATATTGCAAATCATAGACTTTTTAAACCAACACGTTTTACGGAAAAAAAATACTGCTCAAACAACCTGCTCAAACAACTACTAAATTAACAGGTCACAAAATACCAAAACATTTTGACCAGATTGATATTATAATCAATTTACTCACGTGACATTCCACTGTTCGATACGGTTTCATTGTGTCTGTCATTGGAAGATTTTCAAGTGTCTATCGACTTTCAACTTCAAAATATTGAAGATTTTTGCAAAAATCTTATAAGTATTTTAAAGTTTAATTTGTCTTCTTTCACTAAAGTGTTTTTCTTTTGGGGTATTTAAAGGAAATCCTGGTATTGCCAGTGCAAATCAGGTGCACGATTAGTAGTTAATTGTGCTCATATGGTCTGCAGGCTTCTAAAGAAACAACTCATCCCTGAACACTAATATAATACCTAACAATGTTTTGGATTGCCGAAATGAAACAAATATTGAAGACATGATTATCGATACTGCAACGTGGTAGAATTTTTGTTGACCATGGTTGTTGAATATCAAATACACTTGTTCCGACAATAAAAAGTTTAAATTACTGATGCATGTAGTTTATATTTCTTCGAATCTTCATGTTAACCAAGCAACTTTTTCGACACAACTCCAATTTTATTAGTTAAGTTAAAGTTTTGGTTTTATTATTTCCGAATCTTTTTTTATCCATACGTATATATAACTAAAAAATGAATCACCGTGAGTACTACATGTATACTTTGTTTCAATACATATGTTTTGTTTTGCTACTATTACTACTATTACGATTAAATGTAGTGTGACATCGAAGTTATGTAAATGTGACTCGTTTTTGTTTGTTGTTTTTTTTATAAAATACCTTCATTCTTTGAATTGAAAAGCATTCAGAGTATAAAACGAAAAATGATTAAGCTAAAGTGAAGAAAGGGGGCATTTTTATACATACAAACATACATACATACATACATACACACACACACACACCCTCACACACACATACACACACATACATGTGAAAGGTGTCAAACGGGGACAGGGGTTAAAGACTGTCAAAGTGGGGACTTCTTTATTTTTATTATTTCATTGACTTTTGACCAAAAATATTTGTCCTCATATAACTCTGATGGCGAATATATTCAGAATATGTCAATATCTTTAATTTTAAGCCAAGCACTTTTTACAGCACAAACGGGGACCTATTTCACACTCATTAATATTCACACACCAGTACTTGATTCATTGTATCTAATCGGGGACGTTTTCAAAAATGAATGCAAAATACTCCCTTTTGTGCCTTTTATTCATTAATTACCACTGTTCTCATCACTAATTAGGATTCTTGTCTTCACAGGTACTTGAATGTTTTAGATTTTAAATCAAATATGGAGATAAAGAACAGTAATAAGCCTCAAAAGTCCATTGAAACCCATAGGCACTCCCCAGCTTAATTGTTAAAAAATATATATCTATTATACTATAAACATGTTATGTTCATAGTATAGTAGATATATTTTTTTAACAATTAAGCTGGGGAGTGCCTATGTTAAAACCGTACAAATCGTGAGCAGGGCAAACACGGACGTTAAAACACTCGAGTTCACAGTGCCATGCAGGAGTAAGCACCCCCTGCCGACCGGTGTAGCATGATATTTGGTCCGCCTCGTTTAAAGGTGGGGGGGGGGGGGAGGGGGGCTAATACGATAACATATAAGGTCCGCCTTTTATAAGAAAAGGTCTGCCTACGTTTAAAGGTCCGGGTAGTGCAAAAGGTTTTAATCTTGATTTAAACACATAAAATTAAAGATAGTTTGTACAATATATCTCTAGAGCAGGAATTCTACTCCTTATTTAGTTGCTTTTAGGAGTTCCGTTTATTTTGTTTTAACATTTCCATGCTTGTGGTGTAAAAACTGCATACAAAAATC